AAATCCCTGCAGGGATGGGGACTCCACCCTTGCCCTGAACACTTTCCATGAAGGAATTTCTCCTAATATCCAATTTTCTCTCATTCTTTTGCTGAGCTGAGCATCCCCAGAGGTTCCTGACCCTGCAGGGATAAGCTGGGATAAAAGGGGTGTATTTACAGCCTCCCTGGGGTGTCCTGAGCCAGGTGACAGGTCTGTGCTGGGAGCACCAAATAACCACAAGGGTTAAAACACTCCACCAGTATTTTATTACCAAGAGATGCTGCAGGTTAATTACTGCAGGTTAATTACTGCAGGTTAATTACTAAAACCAGGTGGATATGAATGCAGCAGGGAATAATGGGGCAAACAGCAAGTTTTTCCATAATTTACCCCATTGTCTGAAAACAGTGTCTCAAGTAATTGTCCCTCTGACAATTTTTCGACTCTGCCACTGATGAGGGGAGGTTTCCAGCTCCAGAGGAAAGTTTTCAGCTCAAAAAGAAAGTTCTCTTCCCCTCCTCCCAAAGTACATCTCCCTTTCCTGCTCCTTGGCAGCAGGCACAGCCCCGGTCAATGGGGTTTAAAGTCAAATTTTCCCTGACAATGAAAAACGCTGTTTCCAGACAAAAGGACCCCAGACAAAGACAAGAGGCAGCATTTAATTAAACTGTGCATTTGGCAGCGTGGTTTATGGCCCTCAGAGATGGGGTTTGCCATCAGCCAGCCTGGCCACACACTCAGAACAAATCAGAGGAGTGTTGGCACAGCACGGAGCAGGAGCTGCCAGATGATCAGAATCCCACATCAATATCCCCAAAAAAACCCATTATCTGCGTGTCTGTGGCTTTACAAAGCTGTTAAAAATACTGCTTTTAGCTGGAGAATAGAGGGACTCAGGGGCACACCAAAGACTCAACTAGGGCATGGAAATATGACCCTGTAAGCCTGTCCTGAGTGTCCCTGTGGGATTCAGCTTGTGCTTCTTCCCTGGGAGCATCCAAGGCCAGGTTGGATGGGGTTTGGAGCAATCTGGGCTGGTGGGAGGTGTCCCTGCCCGTGGCAGGGGGTGGAACAAGGTGGTTTTTAAGGTCCCTTCCAACCCAAACCCATTCTGTGATTCCATGATTCTTCCACAGGGCTTCAGACAGATTTTTACCTTCCAGGTCAGGCTCCAAATATGACATAGAGGAGCTTCTGAGATGACACAAAAGGTAGTTGGGTCTTTCCTTGTGTGCTCCTGTCCCTCCCCAGCCCTTCTCCCTTTCCCTCCAGGGCCCTGGAACACCTGCAGGTCCATCCAGCCCAAAGACAGGGGACACTCACTTTGGGATGGGTGAGCAAAAAGTGCTGAGATCTGGTCAAATCCAGAGAGAAAATCCTAAAGGAGCTCCACAGCTCATGGAATATCCTGAGCTGATCCCACCAGGATCATGGAGTCCAAGCCCTGCCCCTGTCCAGGACACCCCAACACTCCCACCCTGTGCCTGAGGCTTTGGGACTGGGAATCCTGCAAGGCCCAGGACTGGAAAGGGGGATGTTCCCAGCCCAGTCTGGGACATAAACTGGGACTAAATCTGGGACTGGGTGAGCTGAGCCCCACCTGGGCTTGTCTGAGATGTTCAGACAGTGAGGGGGTGTCCCTGACCCAGCAGGAGGGACCCCAACCTGATGACACCATAATACTTTCCAATAATAGATATATATTTAAAAATAACATAATTATTATATAATTACATATCATGTAATTATATTATATGTAACTCATATAATGAGTTATTGTTGGCCACAGCAATAAATCCAATCACAATCATCCACATAATCCCCATATCCTGCTACTCAACTCTTGAACCAAAACTGACCCCTTGCTATGCTCTCCTTATTTTTGATGTTCATTCCTTAAAAATACTGGAAAAGTGACTCTCTGAGAGAGATTTATGCAATCACTTTGTGATTCAAAGCACTGCAGTCCTCCCAGTTCCTCATGACAGGAGCTTTGTTCTTTATCACAGGGACCGAGAAGGCATAAAATCTTTTACCCCTATAAATTAACCCATAAAAAGTTTTAATTTCCATGTCAGTTTACTGTTTTACTGCAAAGATTCACTTCAATTCCCTCTCCTTAAATTTAACTGGGAGGTTTATATTCTTTCCTACTTAGGCTCCTAAATGGAAAATAAAGTTTGCTTGATGCAAGAGCTGCTCCAAACCGTGATTTAAGGTTCCAAGCACTCTGACATTTATTTGTTATATTTGGGGCAGAGCTTTGTGGCTTTACATTTATTTTATGCTGAAGCCTTTAAACACAACAATGTAAAAGGTGAAAAATAGCCAAGGAGAGGAGCTTCACTTGGTGATCCAGGGAGGGACAATGTGGGTTTTAAGCAATGCCAGGGAGGTGAACTGGTTGCAGAAGTGACCCCTGGGGTCTCCAGAAGCCCTCTCAGATCCCTCAAATCACTTTGGTTTCAGCTTTCCCAGTCATTTCTGGAATCACAGAACCATTAATGGAATCATAGAATATCTTGAGTTGGAAAGAACCCTCAAGGATCATCCAACTCCAACTCCTGATCCTGCCCAGGACACCCCAAAACCCACCTGAGAGCCTCGTCCGACTCCATCCCCATCAGCACCCCCAGCCAGGTGGGTTAACATTAATTAACTGCTGCTGGTTAATTGGGGCTGCAGCACAACAAGAGCCTCAAGCTGAGAGAGCCCAGCTGGGCCCATGGGCTGCTCTGAGCTCACCCAGACACACAGGGAGCACCAAGAGATCATCCCAAATCCCTGCTCATGGCCAAGAGATCATCCTAAATGCCATTTCTTCCCTCCCTTTCCCAGGCCATTTCTTATGTTCAGGTTTGAAATAATTTCTCTCTCCTTCACTGTTCAGATTTCTTGGATTTCTCCTGACTTCACCAGTGAAAAAAACCACAACAACTCTGAGCAGCTCCTTGTACTTGGCCCCATTTGTGCTTTAATACTCAGATCCCTCCTCTCTGCCCTCTCCTACCCAAATTCTGCCACTTTGTTCCCCTCAAATGTCACAGAATTCCAGAATGCTTTGGGTTGGAAAGACCTTAAAGCCCAACCAGTGCCACCCCTGCCATGTGCAGGGATACCTTCCACTGGCCCAGGTTGCTCCAACCTGGCCTTGGACACTTCCAGGGATCCAGGGGCAGCCACAGCTTCTCTGGGAATTCTAGTCCACGGCCTCCCCACCCTCCCAGCCAGGAATTTCTTCACAATATCCCACCTAAATCTCCCCTCTTCCAGCTTAAAGCCATTCTCTGTGTCCTGTCCCTCCATCCCTTGTCCCCAGTCCCTCTCCAGCTCTCCTGGAGCCCCTTTAGGCCCTGCAAGGGGCTCTCAGCTCTCCCTGGGGCCTTCTCCAGGGGAACCCCCCCAGCTCTCTATCATGTATCTCTACACTTCACAATTCCCTCTCCTTCAGTTTTCCTCTGATTCCCTCCATCCTATGTTTTGTAATCCCAGGTGCCAAATAATTTCTCTCCTGTCGATGTCTCTCATGCATAAACAAATATACATTTATTTATATCTCTTATTTATAAACAATCACACATTTATTTATAAATAAGAACAGAGGGTCAGAACCAGGAATTGTCCAGAAGGTGAATCCCAATGTGCATGTTTATATGGGAGTTTTGACTTGCACTGGAGGACTTTTCCAAGGCCAGGTTGGAGCAAACTGGGCTAGTGGGATGTGTCCCTGCCCGTGGCAGGGGGTGGCACTGGATGGGTTTAAGGTCCCTTCCAACCCAAACCATTCTAGGATCTATGACTGTTTTCCCCAAAAACCCATTTTCTCCCCTGGGGCACCTGGAGGTGAAAGGGAGGGGCCAGAGGAACCATCCCACTGCAGGGCTGATGGCTCCCGCTTTCCATGACAACACTCCCACCTCTCACACACAAAGGTCGCTCCCAGCAGCTGCTTTTTTTGGCTCTGTTCCAGTTCCAGCCGGCTCTGAGGGTGGATGAGAACTGCCTGTAACAGTCTATCAGCGTCTCACTGTCAAACCAAACATGAAATGTGTGAAAACCTGTCACAGAACTCCTTCACCAGGGGCTCTGGGTGGGCAGCACAGATGCTTTGCTGCCTCACAGCAAAGGCTCACAAATCACTCCTTTGTCTGCACAAAATACACAGATTTTTAGAGACCTTTAACGCAGCCACTCTACACAGGCCCGAAATAATTTTCCACAGTGAACCATTTTATATCCTGAAATAAAACCATGTTTTCTATCACCACCAGCATCTCCTGCGAGCTGCAGGATATTTTGTCTCTGAGCAAAGAGCTGCTGTGCTCTCTGTGGCATTACTGAGCTCCTGGTGCTCACAAAGCAGTTATCTGGACATAAAGCAGCTTTCAGAGGTGAGAAGAAGCTGTGAGATGCTGGGGCAGAAGGGAAGGGTCCCTCTGCAGAGGAACCTGGATAGATTGGAGAGTTGGGTTGTTTCCAATGGGATGAG